CTGGTTGATCTTTTTACAAAAGCTTTACCAAGAGATATGGTAAAGATGACCTCAAAAGAAATGGGGCCGAAATCCTTTAACTAAAATCGCCAATGATGGTAACCCGACCTAATACCAGTAAATCACTAGTTATAAAGTTTAATGGGCAAAAACAAGTTACTGAAAGTAGTTATTTGATACATTAGCCTAGACATGAGAAGTCAATATCGTCTGTTACGTTTTGTAGGCTAAATTAAATTCTTAATTAAGTATATTACAAAGTGTTATTAGTAACATAAACACATATTAGATACTTCACCTATATGAGCTTAGAAGTGGTGCCGCTTCTTACGAAAGTTAGGGTTGCTTTCTAGAGAGCTCATGAAACAGGTACAAGCACAAGGCCATAATAGTGCTGACTAAATTAGAACTTCTTGCTGAAAAAATTATTAAAGTAGCAAGTTTAAAGCATAGCTACTTGAAACTTTTATATAATTTTGAGGTATTTGCACTAAGTAAAAGTTTAACTCAAAAGAGACCTTTATGTATGTATATTAATCTGATGGAATTCTTGGCTGTATATTTTTTAACGTTTTATTTTGTAATTTTGTTTTACAAACAAAGTGGGGGATTGTTGGTTGTTTGTTTGTAAAACAAACAAAATAGTGCTTTTCCTTGTCACACATATGAAAGTTTTGATTGTGTTGGCCACTATATTAGTGTGGATGTCTTTTGACTTGTTCAATTGAAGACGATTGGCTGTTGACTAGATCTCACAATACCCGCATGCGGGTGCGTGATTTTGGCACACTTAGCACTTAGCACGTTTGCGTGCTCGTGAATCATAATTACCACTATTCCTCATTTATTAATTTTTATTTATTAAATTTCGAATTTATTATTATAAAATAACTGTTTTGTCTTATTGAAACAGTATAAAGTGTTGATTATTTTTTATTAATTAATTTCGAATTTTATTATTTTGTCTAACAGTTATTTAACGTTCTTACAAATTTTAAAAGAAGTGTGTCTATTCGGACATAACTACTTCACCAGGTTACGTCTTTTCGAACATAACTCCTTCATCTTTGAAATGTTGTATTTGTTCAAAGATCATTTTTTAGAATTTATAAAATTCGAAATAATAAATAAAAAAATATTTTATTTTATTATAATTTTAATTTATTAAATTTCGAATTTATTATTATAAAATAACTGTTTTGTCTTATTGAAACAGTATAGAGTGTTGATTATTTTTTATTAATTAATTTCGAATTTTATTATTTTGTCTAACAGTTATTTGACGTTCTTACAAATTTTAAAAGAAGTGTGTCTATTCGGACATAACTACTTCACCGGGTTACGTCTTTTCGAACATAACTCCTTCATCTTTGAAATGTTGTATTTGTTCAAAGATCATTTTTCAGAATTTATAAAATTAGAAATAATAAATAAAAAAATATTTTATTTTATTATAATTTTAATCCGAATGTTTATTTTTAATATGTCTTTTGAGAAGGCACCTTTTGACAATGCAACTTCTCCCGAAAAGTTGCATTCGCTTCAAAGAGACTAAAGTATATATTCATATTTTTCAAGTCTCTTTTTACTTACTTTTGATACTTCTTTCTTAAAAATTATATAGCCATCTTTTCCAATTGTTACCCTTAGGGATCATGGAGAAATACCGGAATTGCTATCTGGTATTCTCATTGAGATTTTGTTGTATCCTTAGCAACATTGTGGGGCAAATAATTTTTAAAGACAGTGTTATCACGCCTTAAAATCTGATTCTATTTTGTTCCCGTTTCGTTTCACGTGTACATTTTTCCCAACATGTACTTGTGAAAAATAATATATAAAAAGATGTTGTTTATATATATTTATCATCATTTCGGCTTTTGACCCCAAAAAAAATCATCATTTCGGCTAAGCTGATGAATTGTCGCATGAGATTCGGTGGAGAAATACAAGATGCACTTCACCTGTCCAAAATGATATCTTTGGGAGCATTCTTTTTTGCTTCCCTTTGCTTGAATTGAAAATGAAGCTGGTTGGCAGGGAGGAGTGTGCCTGGCACATGCTGTTGAAGTCCTCTGCTGGCTGTATGGAACAGTCAAAGAAAGTGAGATTCCGATATCTATATCTCATTACCTTATGTCTTGTCTTTGTAAGATGATCGCGTAGTTTTGCAGCGGCTCGTCATTTGTGAGATTGTCATTTTAACACTTAAGATCTATAGTGATGTGAACTTCTCATGATGTGGTTGTGCATTTTCAGTTGAAGACTACATCCTGCAGTTTGCTCCACCGTTTAATCGTTTGGAGCTACTGCAAGCTAACTCTTGCCCCGATGCGATTACTAACCATGTCGAGCAATTGTGACATTTTCGGAGATTTGCCTCGCAGATCAACGGAAGCAAGAGGGTATGTTTCTATGACTTAACACCATTTCCCCATTTTTTTTCTGTGTTGCCTCAGGTACAATACCGAAGCCAACCCTCTATCTGTAATACTGAATTTGGCAGCGCCCATTTTTCGTCTCCCCAGAAGCTTCTGACCCTGTAAATTCGGCAAAGTTGTAACCGAAGATATCGGTCTGCCAACTCAAGCATCGTCAGAAGTTTTTCTCAGGCCATCTTAAATGCAACCGTAAGCTGGGATCACGACTCGCGGACCGTGTTATAGAAGTTTGCTTAGAACTCCTAGCACGAGAAACGTCTTCCGTTTCCCGGCTCTGTCTGTGCATCTAATCAATCAAATTTTGTTGAATCTGCTGCTATAATCGGCAACTGGAAATCCGGCGGTCTTTTGCGACAACATCATCCCCAAGATGATGGCATATGCTCGCGGTTGGCGGTTTGTCTAACGGAATGCTCAGACAGTTCTCATGAAGCTGGCCTTTTGATTCTACCGTCGGAGGGTATGTATCTCGTATCAAGAGGCCTGTTGTCGAGTTGGGGGGGGGGGGGGGGCCAAAAGCTTAGCTAGTGACAGACGATATAGACGAATCAGATTCCACCGTGTTATGCTGTCGTGCCCCATAAAAACGGCTGGTGGCATTGACAATTCCCAAGTCCTTCTCAGGTCCGACCCATTCCGGCGAGGTCGGCATATTCCGCCGTCGATTCTTCGACACCGATGAGACCTCGGGGATGGGGCCCCCTTTCGGTCAAGTCTTCTGCGAAGAATCCTGAGCGAAAATCTAAACCCACCAAAGCTCACTAAACTCTAGAAAATACCGAAAGCGACATAATCCGTTTTTTTTTTATGACAAAAAGGCCAACTTCTCGTTTGTTGGCTGCTTGTGAGTTGTGGAGGTATTTCCTGTGTACTGGTGCACGTGATCCTTGTCGCTTGACGTGGCAGTAGAACGTCGACACGCATTCCTACAGCTGCCCCTGCGTTCTGATCTTTTCGTTTTTTTTTTGCTTCCGAATTGTGAAACGAGGGCCTCAAGCTTAAGCTTACGATGGTCCTGTCGAACAGCCCGAAATATCCTCTCTCTCTCTCTCTCTCTCTCTCTCTCTGTCGAACAAACGAACACCTTCCACGCCACCCCGCATCGCACATCGCTAGCGGCAGAGAAAACACATGACGTCCGACGGCGTGGAAAGCATGTGATTCCTGGTCCCGCTCTGGACGGATTGGGGTTTCATCATCGGAAGCCCTATTGGGAAAAATCTCCCCCGGGGGACTTCTAATCCCTCGGCAATAGAGAGTAAAATGGCTATCGAAGCGGGGAGAGACACGAATCGGGTCCTCGAAAGAAGCCTGGATATCGTGCCGTCACGAGAAAAAAGTATCTCCCGATGAATATTTTCGTGTGTCGATCGCGTTTGTATCGTCACGTGCTATGATTCGTTGTTAAGTGCATTCCGAGCTTTGGATAAAGCTGGTATCTTTTTGTTGGAATCGATTATTGATGATGCTGTTAGTTCCCGATGTTTCTGTGATTGCCCAAAGACTACTTGTTCGAAAATAATCAAAGGGATTAACGATTTAATGACTTGCTCTCCACGAGGTCAAGCAGAGTAACTTCGTGGGAGTCTACCTTGAGTAAAGTCATCGTCATCACACATTCAAGCAGAAAAAGCTGTGTACAAAGAAAAGAACAAGAGATGCATTTAAGTATGGTAATAAGGACTAAGAGACATTACATAAAAAAAATTTAAAAATCGCATAAAACCATCACTCCTATTTCCTTCACAAATATATATATATGCCTCGGTTAAGAAATGTATCGATTGCGTAAATATCATCTCGAGCGTTATGCACACAAAGTCAAGAAATGCACACAAAGTCAAGAAATGTATGGACTACGACAATAAAGCCCTACGACACATTTCATAAGAACTAAAAAAGGACATGTGCCGTCATCATCCACGTTTCCCCTTCACAGACTCACGCGTTTACCGGTCCTCTATACGGCGATCGAAAGTAGACGGGTTTCAGCCGGCGACATGCTGTTAGAACGTAACCAGGGCCGACGCCGCCGCCCCCGCCCCCCCGATGACACCACGGATGCACATCGACGGCGACCATCCTTATCAATATCGCGCGTCCAAATCAAAACAACGAACAAGCAGCAACAGCAAAAGGGCAGTTAATAATAACACTAATGATAATGAAGAAGATAACAACCATAATGAAAAGAGAATAATAAGTGGGGGGGTGTTTTATTCCGCATAGTGCAAGAGCCCAAAAAGATTCCTCATTGGCCAAAAGGCCAAAATGCTCGAAGCTGTCCCTCGCCGATTTATCGGCACCTACACACCATTCACGCCCACCCCCCCTCTCCCTCTCCTCTCTCCTCACTGATTCCTCCAAAAAAAAAAAAGCCATCGACGGATTTCCCCCATCTCCCCCACCACCACTCTCGAAGAAGCTCCTGCAGGACAGCGAGCGAGAGCGAGAGCGAGAGAGAGAGCGATCGACTCCCCGTGTAGAAATGAGCTCGCTCCGCCGCCCACCGAAACCCTAAGGCCACCCCCCCCCCCCCCCCCCCAAATCCCTCGGCGGAGGCCTAGGGTTTATCCCGCAAGAATCTGGGCGGAGGAAGTGCGCGCGCTCTAGAGAAGGAAGGGAGGAGGTCGCGGGGGGAAATATGTATAAGGAGAGAGGCGGCGGCGGCGGCGGCGGCGGGGTTTCCAAGTCCGAGGTGGTGGTCGGCGTCGGCGTCGGCGGCGGCGGCGGCGCGGATCGGAAGCAGAGGATCAACATCAACGACGTGCTCGACAAGCACCTCCTCGAGCGGTCCTCCCCGTCCACGTCCCGCGTCGTCAACGGCAAGGACAAGTCCCCCCACGCGGTCGTCCTCGGCAAGGCCCCCTCCGATCACCGCGATTCGGCTCGCTTCAAGGCCAAATCCGATGGTCCGTCTCTCTCTCTCTCTCTCTCTCTCTCTCTCTCTCTCTCTCTCTCTCGTCGAATTTGATGATGTGTCGTGTGAGTTCCCTTCTCGTGCGCGTCGTTTCGGGTTCAGTCTAATTCTCGAAAGGAAAGAAGAGGGGTTCCGTTTGTTATCTGCGCTTTCGTGTCTGTGCTTGTTTAGAAGTGGAGGTTGATTTCGCACGGGGGCGTACCCATCAATATGTATATCTGTCTGCATAAGTTTGGATTTTGCTCGGGGATTTCGACGATCCGAGTGTTTCAGCTCTTGATGTATTGAGCATGTTTTTTTATTAGTTTAGGGGAAGAGTTAAGTGTGTCCCCTGTCGAACTCTTGGTATTAGGCCGGAGCTTTTGATACTTGAGTTGCTGAAACGAAGTGTGATTTTCAGGTATTAACTATCCATTACGGAATTTATTATAGTGTTAGCACGGGGAGAGCATGTAATGGATTCTTTTGTGTATATTTACTTGCTGCCTCGTTTTAAGATGATCTCTCCGCCAATTGCTTTGAAGCAATTATTCCTAAGAGGTTGTACCTTGTTATGTCTTTGGCAAGTTTATGCACTGCAGAATAAGCAGTTCTTGAGGATTCTGTAATAGCTATTGGAACTAAGGAGCACATTCTCTCGTCCCTCCTGGGTACTGGATAATAAGTTTTGGAAAGATAAATCAGTCCTTGATGATAACCCCACCTAGATAGATTAGAGTGTTTCTTGCAACCTCTGGCAAATTCTTGCACATCTCTTCGAATGATGTGGACTTCAAATATGTGCATTAAAAGAAATGATCGGTATTTTTATGAGACATGACTGGTCGTAATCAAGTTTTCTTTTGAGTGCATAATTGTAAATCACTTCTGTGAATGAGGTATTGCTGTGTTTGTAGGAAAGAACAGTTGCCAGTCAACTCCTAGAGATTTGATTGCTCTTTCGAGTTTCCGATTAACCCAGCTAATACGTCCTAAGTTATTACCACCAATGCCATGATTATTTTTTGGTGTAGTAATTGAAGCGCGTTATCGTCAGCATTGACTTACATAGTGGAAGAGTACTTATGTAGATTGGATTGGATATACTAGTTAAACCAAGTCTTCACTTCTTGACTGCTATTCTTGTTTGCTTAGGAAGTTGTGAATGTATTCTAGTGATAAGATCTAACTAAGACATTTTAATATATATCTATATGTCTGATTATAAATTGTGCATGGGTGTTCTTTTCCTAAAACTTAGCTTCTTTTTAATCACATTTTTAGGAGGGTCATTACTATATTATCACATTGATTTGAGGAGGTATGCTTGTCTGGTTTTACGACTCAAATGACCTTACTCCTTACAAGTCGCTTTCTTGGTTAAGTGAGAGCATTGCCCCAATTCCGTGCTGGAGGATGGCCATGAAAAAGCAGAGAATGTCGCCCTACTGAATTTAGAGTCAAAACTACGTTTTTTCCGAGCGCAAGAGGTCACTCATTTCTTGCAGTATCCAACATAACAAATACATGAGCTGAGACAATGCTTCCGCAGTGTACCCTCTTCCCACAAGATTTGCAACACCTCCAACCAGAAGCATTTGAATGGAGAGTTTCACTGTATCTCCCTTCCTCATAAGTAGACATGCATCGCGCAGAAGTCGGTGTAGTTACCGGCATGGAGTCGCCAGCCCCCCTTAGGTCTCTCTGGTCTGACTTTTGAGCACTCTGGGTTCGAGTTGGAGCTGCCATTGGAGCAGCGGCAGCAGCTGGAGATATTTTATGACTAGCCAAAAATAATGCATAATCCCCAAATTCATGCCAGCAAACAGTTGTTGAAGAAAGAGAAAAACATGAGAATTGCAATGGAGTCTGTTTTAGCATAATCTTTTTTTTTGGCTCCACCACCACCACCATCATCATCATCTCTCTCTCTCTCTCTCTCTCTCTCTCTCTCTCTCTCTCTCTCTCTCTCTCTCTCTCTCCGTTTTTAGTGTTTTTCCATTTATACACAGAAATTAAATCGCCCCCCATCTTAAGATCGATGAATGTATAAAACCTATTCCTGTCCTGCAAAACACAGCAAAACCTTATGTCAGAGTCAATACGGCACTGCTTGTTAAGTATATGCTGGTCTTTTTAAAATAATGACAAATGTGATATTTCTATTCTATTCGCCACTTCCCAGCTCTTGTGCTCATCTTGATCTGGCTCGGGCAAGATTTCCCGTGGAACTATTAAGGCCAAGTTAGGTCCATATCCTCCCTAGGATAACTTGCTGCATATGGTCGGCACCTCATCTTGCCATCGATATCTTGCCGAGGCGAGATAACTTGCTGCAAATGTGGATTCTTGTTAGGATCTATTTTACCTTTAAAGGTGAACTCGAGCTCTTAACATTAATTTCGTTATCAAAGTCGTGATCAACCACCTTTTTCAGGCTTGGGCTGCTATTGGTATTATCGTTATTCCACTGTGAAGGTTCACTTTCCGTTACTTAACAACAGATGCTAGGTTCTATTTTTCAGCTACTTGCATGAACCCTCAGCTTCTATCTCTGAATATTGTTTTTCTAATGCCACAAACATTAAGGTTTGCAAGTGGTGCTGCAGCATCAGACCCAAAGGTACATGTTCGCGATCAGACTGACATTACATGTAGAATGTGAAGCTGACATAAAGGAACCTATCCAGAAGCTTAAGTCATTAGTGGGAGAATGGTTGACATGTATGAGGCCAAGATGAACTCATAATCGAGTGATAAGATATAACTTTAACAGTGTTGGTTCTATCTGGAGGCAGTTTAGTATTGGTCCATAAAATTAGACCTGATGGAAACCTCCATTCATAGAATGAATGAATCCTCTTTTAAGTTGGAGTTCTGCCAGTTGGCTCTGTGCTTCGTTTTGTGAGACATCATTTCGTATGACAACTCTGACCTTTGGACCGATACCGACACCCCTACTGCAAAGAATGTGTATAACCCTATACCGGTTCAGTCCAGTATGGAAAGAACATAAAAGCATGAAATCATTGCAGGAAATCTTTTCATGACACAGATATCTTTTCTAGAACATGCTGGAGATTCAGCTCTTGAATATATACTTTACTAAATGCTTCAGATTCTGGCAGAAACATATTTTAACAGTGTATGTTGTGGTTTGTTGAAGTGTCCAGTCATTCCTCAGTTTCATCATGGCACCTTATGCAGTTTCGTTTTCTAGACCTTGCTGTTGTATATATCTGATTGCTTCCAGCTTTTGCTTTTTTTAGATCTTATAGAACTGGAGTATCACTTTGGTTAGGGCAGCATGTAGATTTTTCCGCATCCATCAAATATAGCCTTCCACTACTTAATGCAGCTAAATGTTACGTTGGAGTTTTCTAATTTGTTCTTATGGGTGTTTATTGTAGAGGAATCTGAAACAGATAGTGAAGAATCAGACGTGAGCGGTTCTGATGCAGACGACTCATCTTGGATCTCATGGTTTTGCAATCTTCGAGGAAATGAATTCTTTTGTGAAGTTGATGATGATTACATACAAGATGATTTCAACCTGTGCGGTTTAAGCAGTCAAGTTCCTTACTATGATTACGCACTTGATCTGATTTTGGATGTCGAGTCCTCTCATGGTAAGCAAGAGCACTACTATCATAGTACTAGAAGGGTGATGAGAGCTGTACCACATATTCCATGTGTTTTGTAAACCCGGGTTCCATACATGCTTTTCCATTAATGGTCGGTTTTCTTTCATTTGTTCAATGTGCATGGGACATAAAGATTCTCCTATAATAAGCTTGGAATTAGAAAGCATGATGCGGCATGTGTAAGGATTGACTGCTCCTGTATTTTATCTTGAGTTTTAACATTTTAGTGCTCATGATGCATTTTGTTGGTATGGATAGGTGACATGTTCACTGAGGAGCAGAATGAATTGGTTGAATCAGCTGCAGAGATGCTTTATGGTCTAATTCACTCCCGCTACATACTGACTAGCAAAGGAATGGCAGCTATGGTGAGATTGCGCTCATGAGTACCTGTTTAGTTATTACGCACTACTTTACTTAAATAGGTGACAAATGTGTTATTTTGCTTAATATCAGCTGGAGAAGTACAAGAACATTGACTTTGGTAGATGCCCAAGGGTTTATTGTTGCGGACAACCATGCCTCCCTGTTGGGCAATCAGACGTTTCTCGTTCAAGCACCGTCAAAATATACTGCCCAAGATGTGAGGATATATATTATCCTCGATCCAAGTACCAAGGCAGTATCCTTAATTATACCATATTTCTTTTCTGATTATCTGACAGCTAATATTCAGCTAGTAGGCATTGCATCTTAGAATGTGATAAGAAATGGTTAGTAACTTAGGTTATTTTCTGCAGATATGTGATATTTCAATTTCTTAAAAGCAGCATGCATTAATTATTTTACATACTGAGACAAACATGTGCCTTTCCAGCATTTCCACTTTTCTTCCTGCAAATATATGTTATTATGAGCTGGGGAAAAAAGCGACTCCACTTAGTCAAATAAGTTGTTTTTGAGCTGGTTTAACTCAGGATATGAAAAGGTATGACTGGTACCTGATGAGGTCGATGTGATCGTGATAATCATCTAAGACAAATATTGATTGTTCTTAAATTGGTGCATGCTTTTATTCGGTTTCTAGTTTGAGAATCATCAGTGTGATTGGTCCAACCATTGCTTTTCTTGTGATAGATCCAGCAAGTTATTTATGATGTGGAAGTGTGTCCATTGCTCTCAAGTTTGAAAGCATCCTTAACTCTACCTAGACATCGATGGTGCATACTTTGGAACTACATTTCCTCACCTATTTCTGATGACATATGGCCATCTGAAGCCACAGAGTGCATCGCAGAGTTACGTCCCTAGAGTTTTTGGGTTCAAGATCCACAAGTCATGATGAGTTGCTCATACAGGGTATCATGAGTATGGATTCTGCTTGGAACAAATGCTTTCTCACTGTCCATGTAAAGTTAACGAGACATCACGTCTGGGTTCTTCAATATCTGATCAAGGAACCTATATTCACATACATAACGAGGAAGTAACTGTCATCATCCTGTGCCGGGATCATAACTACGTTTCGCTGCATCGGAGGAGGAATCAATTCAAGCTCCTTGAGATGGCTTCCTCTTTGCTTTTTTATTTGTTACTTTTAGCTGCTATCTAGTTGCAGTCCTTTTGTACTCTTGTGTGTATCATTCCGTAATTCTTTAATTACCGATGAATGAAGCTGAAATTTTTCATGATATAAGTTGTTGAGATCGGAATTATAAGATTCTACAGTTGTGCGCGCACCCTTAGTCATGTAAAGGCGTTGCCAGTTTTCTCAAGGTGACCTTAGAAAAAGAAGTCTGAGAACTTTATGTTGAGTTGCAGGCTGGATATGGTTTTTCGCAGTCATCCTTCTTGAGTCTCGTTTGGACGGCCACCCTCAGAAGAGCTCCTGCTTTCTTTTCACCCTTGGGATTGGTCCAAAAGGTGAAAAACTTCGTGGTTGATTATTTTCCTCGTTGAAAGACGTCCTTCTAATGGCTTCCCATTACTTCTCAATTTGACTTTCGATGATATTTTAGTACCTAACTAGAGTTAATTAGCTTAAGTTCTACGCCTTAATATAATCTATGAGGGATGAGGCAAAGGTCTTCATTCGCCTGAATTGCGGCGATGTACAATCATCATGTCCCCCATCATAGAAAATAGGGATTAGACGTCAGACATTATTGCACAAATTGACCCAACCACATCACTCCATACCGCCTCATCTAGAAATATAAAAAGTGGACGGCTTGGACTTGATGAATATAGACGTTCCAGTCATGTTTTCATGTACATAAAACTCCAGTCTTCCTCAAAGGAAGTCTTCATCTAGAGTAAAATGTCCCATTTTTCTTCTCTAAACATTATAATTCAAACATGTCATCATATCATCTGAGGTATGCCTGTTTCATTGTCAGGTGAATCCACACGGGACGTATCGACTTTTCTCGTTTCCGTTTTCATATTACATAAGGTGGTATTTGGGACAAGCTTATGATAAATGAAAAAAATTGGTGGAGTTAATCTATGCTTTTGATGTGTTTAGAAAATTGACACGACGAGGTGCTTTGTCGAGTTGCTGGAAAATATATTCCAGCATTCATATTTTCGATATCTCAGTTTAATCCCCCTTTCTCTCTCTCTCTTTCGAATTGTCCTTTCATTTCCCCATCTCTATTAAAGGTCGACTAACATGTACCATATGCAAGACTCAAAGCTTAGCAACACTTAGCGGAGGACCTGTCCATTTCACATATCCTTTCTCAGTCTCTTGATGGATACAATCAAGTAAATAGAAGATGGAAAAATATGTGAAAGAAATGGCTACACTTTCCTTTCAAGCGATTCATGGAACATGGGCGATGAGGACAAAAGGGCTGTGTGTGTAATGTAAGGCCATGAAAGTGAGATGCGTGATGCATGTGTTGGATAAGACCAAAACAGAAGCCACCCATTCCAATCTCTGAGTCAGAGATGTTGAGTATTCAGCCCTTTTCCCCATAAAAACTTAAAAAAATATGCAGTGATTTAAAGATTTTCAGTTGCTTCAGACAAGAACTAACCACCACACAGATTTGACTCAGCTTTTATTATTATCCTAAATGGTATGTTGCTGATTCAGATGCACCCTTCAGAGGCTTATCGAGGAACATCTATTGATATTCGATAATATTAATGTAAACTATTCTTATCTTCTGATATTCTTGTTCAAAGCTGTCCAGCACAGAGACAAGGACAAGTTGACCCACCTAGGTTGGATTGAAGGTTAAATGTGCCAACAGTTGTTTATCTAGAGATGGCCACAATTGTATATGATTATCTTTAAGAGTGTCATAGACAAATATAATTCGCATTCTAGCATACATAATGCCCTTGTGGAGCAAGGCCATCTGATGAATTTGCAGATCTAATGTAGTGTACCATGAAATTCGAAAGGAATCAACTAGTCTTACACTGATGCAAGAACCTAAGCGCGAGTTATGTCAGGTCATATTAGCGAGTACTCCATCATATTTAATGAAAAACGATTAACTGTACATATAGAGTCCATTTTCGATAACAATTTATGTCTGTACATTTCGTGTACGATGAAGATATTTTCTGTTCATTCATTTTTATAAGTAATACAATCGATTTCAAGACAACATTTCTAAATCATTCGTTTTTTGCGAAAAGCACGCCCCTTAATGAAAACAATCAATCTATTTGAAAGTGTGATTTCTTTCATATTTTGCTGAACCATATCTTCAAAATAGGAGCACTATTTCTATCTTTCAAACGGCTGCATACACAACCATATTAACAAAAAAACTTTCTCATACTTAAATGCCCTTATTTAAAGCAAGCTGACGCAATCTGTATTATCCAATTTTGTTCCCGGATAAGAAAATTTTAGATGTAGATGTTGCAACCTAAACAGCTTATCTAGTCCATTTCTTTTCTTGATTTTTCACTCAGGAACGAAAGATAAGAACAAATCCACAAGCGAATAGTGGATACCCTGGGGGCATAATTCGCATTACCAACTTGAAAAGAAAAAGAACTTCTAGTAAAATCACTTTGATAACCACATTTATCACCCAGCATTTTGTATAGACTAATCTATTTTATAATTACCCCTCTTGCGAGCTGAGAATTAAACTTAAGATCTTTAACTCGAAAAAAGGAGCAAATTGTTCAAATTTTTATTTGCAGGTTCGGATTAACAGTCAAATTTTCTAAGTATTTTAGACATGGGTGTCTCTCGAAATTAAAGAGGAGATGTGAGAGGAGAGAGAGACTTTGCAAGCCCTTCCATTCGTGGATTTAATTAGACTCGGCTTTTCGTTTTTCTGTCTAAAAAAATCACCAATTTTAACTTTAGTCCTAAATATGCTCCCATCAGCCCTCCATCCAGAAATCGTTGTTAGTCATCCTAATTTCCCTAATTTTCGTATTAAAGAACGATTTCTTTTTGGAAATAATTTCCCGCGACACCTTGCTGATGTGGATGTATTATCGACGGAGGGTCAATAGGGGGTAGATTAGATACTAGATTGAAAGTTTGTGATTTTTTTTGACAAAAAAAAGTTTTTCTAATTTTCATATCAAAGAAAGGTCTCGTTTAAAAGATAATTTTCCATGTTACCTTACTAATGTTGATTTATTACCGACATGGAAATGCTACGTCAAACAACTAATGGCAATTTTTGGATGGAGGGTTAACGGGCCAAATTTGAGTTAGATTGAAAGTTTGTGATCTTTTTTAAACAGAAATGTTTGGGGCAGATTTGAATGTGGATCTAAATTTTGGGGGCTTTCTTTTAGATTAAAAAAAATTGAGATATAATTGGGACTGGATTAAAGTTTGGGTTTTTTAAGACAAAAAAACGTTCAGGAAAATATTAAGACTAGACCTAAAATTAATGGTTTTTTTTAGAGAATTAGGCCAATCATAATATTATTTAACTTTGCCGCGCTGCAGCCATTTAAGGTGTGGAAAATTGAAACAGACCTGCCCTAAGATTATTCTTTAACAAAATTCTATATATTTTAATTCATAGCATCCCTTTTTAGAATGAAACTGAACCAATTGAAATCTCGAGCAATCGAGTTGAGCATTTGCTCATAGATTCAATGTTGGACAGGAACACACCTCCAAATGAGTCTATAAACAAAGTTTTGGTCAACCTCTTTAGCGACCAAAACCACCCAAAAAACAATGGTTCCCCTAAAATGTTTAAACTGAGGGCATCTCTCTGCTGAATATAAATACGCTAAGGAGATTGGAAAAAAAATATATAATTATTCATTAATCATTTTATTATCGCATAATCAAGTGTCCCATCTACTAATCCTATGATATTAAAATAAGATGCCAAACAGTTAGATATTTGTCAAATCTCATGTTATTGTCTGTTTTTTTTTTCACCTTTAGGTAAAATTATGAATTGACCCAAATTATGTAGATACATAGACCCGAAAACCAGAACATCAGACCGGATCAAACCGACCGGTTCCCCATTCCAAATTAGGAACCAAACCGCCTTGACCTTTTTTTTTAAAACTTTTCCTTTTCTTTTAAAGAGTAAATAAAATGAATTTGTCAAAACCTTAAACCGGATCGGTCCAACTCGAGAACCGGGCTGGCGTCGACCGGACTGATTCCTGGTTCTAGAATGGAAATGACCAATCCGAAAACCGATCACCCCTGCGTCCATTTTCCGTGATTGGAAACCAGTGGCACGTACGTAAATTGCGATCTAAAAACGTGCGCTTTGAATTTCTTTGAACTTTTTATCTTGAAAATGGGAAGGTAGGGACCGGCCTGCAAAAAGGGACGAGAGGAAAAGCGCCGCAGCGTGGCAAATTGGTCAACTTGTGGAGCGCCACGTGGACAAGAGCTGGTGGGTCTACCGGCAACCGGAGCTTCCGGTTGCGGAGGGCTCCTCGTTTCTCATTTCCCTGAGCTCCACTCGAGTGATGGCTTTTGAGAAGAGGCGAAGCGACCGCTTGGTGGCAACTACTTCCCAGGCTCCACCGCCTGAATTGTCATATTTACCCTTCATATGACGCGGAATTTGCAGTTTTGCCACCTCTCTCGTTACAAAAGTGAAAGTTCTATTTGAAAATTTCACCTCATATATATAGAGAAAAGACCACCAAAAACATCAAACTATACTCATTATGACATATTTATCTCAAACTTTTTTTTGCGACACCAAAAACCCCATACTATGAACATTGTGACACATTTACCCTCCATTAGGATTCTATTAAAAATCTCCGTTAAAACTCAGACGCGACGCTGACGTAATGCAACATTAGAAAAAAAAATTTTAAAAATTCAAACAGGTCATTGTTCATTGTGAGTTACTGTTCATCGTCTTCAAAGTTACTGTTCATCGTCTTCTCGCTCAACCAAAGCTCTTCTGGAGCTCGTCTGTCACTGCCCACTACCGCCTAGACCTCCGGGAGCTTCGTCATAGCTACTGACCATGGCAGCCGCGAGCTCGAAGCTTGGCCATGGCCGCTCTGCTCGAGCTCAAAGCTTGGCCTGAGGGTGAAACTTGGTTGAAGTGGATCTTTGTCATCGTATTCCTCTTCTTCGTCATCAGGCCAAGCTTCGAGCTCAAGCGGCCGCCATGGTCAGCTGCTACGATGAAGCTCCCGGAGGTCTAGGCGGCAGTGGGCAATGACGAACAAGCTCCGGAACAACTCTGGCCGAGGGAGAAGACGATGAACAGTAACTTCGAAGACAAATGAACAGTAACTCGCAATGAACAATGACCTGTTTGAATTTTTTTAAAATTTTTTTCTAATGTTGCACCACATCAGAGTTTGTAAACGGATATTTTTAACAGAACCCTAATGGAGAATAAATGTGTCATAATGTGTATAATTTTGGGTTTTTAGTGTCACTAAAAAAAATTTGGGATAAATATGTCACGATGAGTATAGTTTGGAGTTTTTTGTGGTCTTTTCCCATATATATGGTTTATTGGTATAAGCTCAAAGATGGGTGAAATCTAACTTGTCATTTTCTGCTTTGAATGGACTAAAGTGAAGAATGTAACATCTCAACATTTTGCAAAATGTAAAGCCTACATTTGACTACCTGTCTATTCTCACGATCGCTAATATCGTCGTGTCTATGGAATCGTTTAACCGCGGTTCTATAGGTAAAAATATGCAGCGCAAATAAAAGTCAAAAGCCTAATTACTCGAATTCACATGAAGCTTTACAAAGAAAAGCATCCTTTTATTCTTCTTCCCTGTATTTTTCATTTCATTCATCTCAAAAGCATAATCATTTTGCATTGTGATCGATGGAATACCTGGTCATGCAGTTTCCAGTTGAAATAGTGAAGCATTGTCATGAGAGGGCTAAAAGAACACGACACAGTAAAGAAATAATTCATTAAGTGATTAACAAATGAGTATTTAGGCAACTCAATCATATTCAACTTGAGGCTTGTTTAATAACTCAATAATATATGAAAAATTAAGAACTTCAGCACTCTCAATGAGAATAAGCTAGTTCAACACCTTCAAATAGAACCGACTTGAATGATTTGATCAAGTCACTTAATCCGATAAGCAAAAGAGGAGTTACCTAGTTAATTCAGTAAAAAAAAATAATTGTCAGTAATATCAATAAAACCCACAAATAAGTATGATCTCGTATGTTTGATAAGAAAGAAATCAATAATATTTTACTATCAATTTTCAATCATCATCATACAACTTTTTATTTCTATTGAGGGGGCTCTTAATAGTATCGGTGCTTAAAATTAAGTACTCAAAAATGTCCGAGCACTTAATTTTCAATTTCACCAAAACAGACCAAACCCAATAAACTCTTGGCAATATGCCGCACGGTTTCGATAGGAAATGGTAAGTGTCATCTTCGTATATCCATGCGAAGCAAAGGGGCATTTGCGTCAAAGCTTCTCCAGGTTACTCATCACCCAATCCCCAAAGAGATCTCCTCCGCCCCTACAGCCAGAGCCCCACACCCACCTGTTCCTGTCCTGTTCTGCAAAGAAACAACAGCACCACTCCGTCTTCCGAAATAACCAAAACCATGGAAGACACACCAAACCGCCCCCGCACGACACAGTCCCTCGTCCAGATTCATCAGTCGCTTGTCCGAAACACCACCACCCCCCTCGCCCAGATATAAAGATCCATCCTTTAGGCCAATACCACACAGCAAGCAATAGAACAGAGCACGGCGGAGTTGAATTGGAGAGGGAGTGAGAGAGAGAGAGAGTTTTCAACGCTTGCGCACGCTCGCCACCTGCGGTTGATTAATGCATCAGAAGAAATCCGAGCCGCTTCTGATCGGGAAAGAAAGCGTCAGCCTCTCTTCCGATTCCATCAGCACCCACCAGGAGAATTCGAGCCCCCAGCAAGAGATCGCCAGCCTCGCACCGGACCCACCTCGCGAACCGAGCCATCTCTCCGTTCGGATCCCGCCCGCATCGGAAACCCACCTCGACGATGAAGGCGTACGCAGCAACAGCCCCTCCACGAGCCAAAAGACCAATCTTTCGACGCCCCACAAGAGGCCCATGATGACCCAGTCGCCTCTGGCTTTCTATCACTCCGGCGCGCAATTGCCCATCGCCAATCGCCACCAGCAGCAGAGTCTTTTCGCTTCGGATTCCGGCACGCCCAGGTTTTCTTGCTTTAGCTCGCTCGCGATCCCATTTCGCGGCAGAAAGTTTCTGTCTTGTAAATTCTGCCACCAGTTGTGCCGCGTGCGTTTGCTCGGCATACATCTGCGATTTCTAGTTCTCATACTGGTGCCGGTGCTCTACTTCTTTGCGTCCAATCCTAACCGTTCTTTCTTGCTCGAGCTCATCTCTGTGGTTTCCTTCTCTGCGGCACTGTTGATATCACTCAATTTAGCCGTCCCCAGATTTCCTTCGATTCGGTTGCTGTTTTCACGGTCGTTTCCTGCAAAGATCGCTCCATTTTCGGCTTCAACACCAGCTCGGCCTGTTGTTTGGTCAATCGGGTCGAAACCGAAAGCGGAGAAAAGAGCGACTTCAGGTTCATGGGTTCAGGTTTATAGCAATGGGGATGTTTACGAGGGCGAATTTCACGGAGGAAAGTGTTCAGGTAGCGGGGTCTATTACTATTACAAGAGCGGGAGGTATGAAGGGGACTGGGTCGACGGGAAGTATGATGGTTATGGCGTCGAGACATGGGCTAAAGGGAGCCGGTATAGAGGACAGTATAGGCAGGGTTTGAGGAATGGAGTCGGGGTGTACAGATTTTACACGGGAGATGTTTACGCTGGGGAGTGGTGCAATGGGCAGTGTCATGGTGGTGGAGAGCACACTTGTGAGGATGGGAGCAAGTATGTTGGAGAGTTCAAATGGGGTGTCAAGCACGGGCTCGGTCGGTACCATTTCAGGTAAAATATCATAAGAATGTAATTGATTGTAAGTACATTGAGTTAGCACACCTATAATTGATGCTGATTGTGCATATCTTTTTCATAGATGTTCCTCACTTATAGTTCACAATGAGAAGGCACTTCATTTGCTCATTTATCCTTTGGTGTGAATTTTGAAAATGCATTTGTTCTTGCCACTGTCAGTTTGCTGGGATAATACTTGTTGCATCATGGGTCTGCAATTAATTTATTGCGCGAGTCCTCAGTAGTTTCTAGGGGATGCAGTAGCTTTTGGAGAACACACACAAGCTGTTGTTGATAAGACCAGCAATTGTTTCTTCGCTATAGTCAATGATAGGCGACAGGCGAAAGAAGAACCGAAGCCTACTTATTACTCAGTTCCAATGCCAATCATTGACCTCGTATTTGATATCCTGTTTCAAGCTGGCATTCATGTTGGAAGTCTTGGTAACAAGTTGTGTTGAGAATAAAGAAAGCTTTCTTGTGGTGAAAACAGAAGTCTCAGGCTTTCTGAGTTTCTATTAGTGGTCGCATTGGATGCGGACCTCTTTCATGATAGTGATAACTTTTTGCGTCTAATGAAAAGGGCGGAGAGTGCAAAAATTCATGCGTGATTTGAATCTTGGTACTTAAGTTTCATTGTCAAATTTGTCGCGTAAAACTAGGAGCATGACGCCTTATGTGCAAGACAGAGTGTAATGGTCATGTCTGCCCGAGTCCTTGTTCTGAAGTTCCATTTTCAAATGTGGGGACCTGTTTGTTGGAGTATATCTAGTCTAAAGCATTGTTACTTTCTCAGAAAGCCGTTATTACTGTGCAATTGCTGCTATAAGTACGTCAAATTTGATCCTCACAAAACATATCTAGTCATGGTAACTTAAACTCATCAAGGAGTTTTCTTTATAAACTGCAGAAACGGGGATACATACTCAGGGGAATATTTTGCAGACAAGATGCATGGCTTTGGAGTGTACCTGTTTGGAAATGGTCATTGTTATGAAGGAGCTTGGCATGAAGGAAGAAGGCAGGGTTTTGGCATGTATAGTTTTCGAAGTGGGGAGACTCAATGCGGTCACTGGCAGACTGGGGTTCTTGATTCCCCTGGCTCACCAAGCTTTGTTGGGGGACCAAACTCATCCATCACGCACTCCAAAGTCCTCAATGCGGTACAGGTAATAATATCCTCTTTATATGTGTTACTGTTTGCAACTCTGGCTTAATTTACCAACATACATGGGGGACTATTTTCATCTTACGTGCACGGTTGGGAATTAGGGCAAGTCATCACTGGCACTCTGCCTTTATTATCTATCGGAAAATAGAAAAATGATTGGCACTCTTTAAGTTTCAGTTGCTATGCTTGTTTCTAGGAATTAGGTCGTTCATTGTGGAAGTGATTGTGTCATGGCAATACCTTTAGAAGACAGACTTTATTTCATTAACCAAGAAACAGGAAATGGGCTTTCTCACTGACTGCCTTTGCCCTCAGGAAGCACGACGAGCAGCTGAGAGAGCGCATGATATCGGGAAGGTGGACGAGCGGGTGAATAGAGCTATAGCATTCGCTAATAAGTCGGCCAATGCAGCAAGGGTAGCTGCGGTGAAAGCAGTTCAAAATCGAGTGTATCAGGACCATACCCCTGGTGATCAGGCGTTGCCGGTTCTTGTATCTTAAGCAACTAATCCAATTGCACTAGACAGATGTCGGCAAGATAGGTAGAAGTCGAAGACACTTTCTTCTCCTTTTGTTTTCCGATTTCCACTCAGTTTTGGCGATATGCATTATCTCATGCCCGTCAGAGTTGCATGTAATCCCTTTCAAAGCGATGTTCATTTCTGCGGTGCCCTCCTGGAACCACATACGGTCATCAAAAGCTAAAATGGCTGATTGAGGAGCAGGATGAGGTCTTATTTTATGTACTGTAATAAACTTCTTGGCTTTTATGTGAATAGACGTGTTGTAGCTTTTTCACGAGAGAACTGCATACGAGGGGCAAGCAAAAAATGCCTTGTTCCGTTTGGAAACAGCTTCTTTGTCTATTGTTCTACACTGCCGGCTAAGCCGAGAGCTTCCACAGTCTCCACAGTCGAAAACAGAGCTCGGACCTCGGCAGTTTTACCTAGTCTGCATTTGTTATGTCGTCTTCAAATTCGGTGTTTCGTGGGACTGAAAACAGCCAAAGGTTAAGTCTCTACAATGTCCTTAAGGCGCGTCGTGTAGCTCGAAGTCATCTCTCCTCACCGTTTTGGAGAGGTCAAGAGTCCCCGTGCCCCAAACATTAGAAGACGCGGACACATTCCCCGCACGGCGAAAGGGACTCTCGCGGGTTCCATAACCATTCTGATCACTGGATCAATCTCGTGGACACAAAAGCCGGGTCTCCATACGAAAGGAGGCTACGTGAAGTCCGCTAAAAGGTTCATAGAAATAGTCTTAGAAAGAAAAACATCCTCAAACAAGATTGCTATACGGGAGCCGAAGCAAATTCCAATTGGCATTGGCACTAAAGTATCAGCACATTACTAACGGGCCGTCACAAATTGGGCCGTCTTGGACCGGCCCGGCCCATTTTCCAATCTACCATCGGTGAATTCCAGGCCCACAACGCGGAGGAGTCCCGCGTTTTGAAGAAGCGCGTGAGGGGGGGGGGGGGGGAAGCCGTTTTTGGTCTGCTGCTGGTGGTGGTGGGCCCCACGCAAAACAGCTTGAAACGCCGCATTATTCGCGGCTTAAACGCCTCACAAATTAAAAAAAAAAAACAAGCCTCACAAAAATTTTCTTTTAAAATAATATTTTTTTAAAAATTATTTTCTGGAATATATATAACCTCCCCCCATTCTCACCTTCTTCCCTGCGAGCCTCCCCCCAAAACACTTTCTTTTAAATAATATTTATATTTAAAAATATCCGGAAAACAGTTTTCTTTCCCATATTTTCTTTTATTTCTGTTAAGGAAAAAATTCGAATTAATTGGCTGTAATTACATTACAAGACTCCTCCACCACCTCCATCGTTTATACCACCACCACCTCCCCCCACCCACGTCGCTCTCGATCCGATCGCAGCAACATCCGCCCGATCCGTCGACGACGACGGCGGCGACCACCGCCGTTCGGTGATCCTCCTCCTCTTCCTCCTCCTCTTCCTCCTTCCTCCTTCCCTGACGCCGCATTCTCCGGTTCGTCCTCCGCCCCTCCGCACCGAGACGCGCGGGGTACGTCCGCGGGCGACGATCAGTGCACGGCGCGGGAGCCGCATTTCTGGTGTCCGCCGGCGGCTCTGATCGACATTTTCATTGTTTTCGAGGTCTTGACGATTGCTTCCGGCTTTCTTTGAGTCGGAAGCTCGCCGCGAGATTCGGCGTCGGGATTTGGAATATCGCCGCGACTCGCCTCGGCCTTCCCTTGGCGTCCTCGAGAATGGATGACTTGTCTGCGATCAGCGAGGAGCTCGCGGAGCTCGACGGACAGATCTCCGACATCTTACGAGCTTTAGCGTAAGATTCGGTTTGTTGTGTCTCTGCGTGTTTGGAGTCGATCCTGTCCTCATGAATCGGCATTGTGTTCGCTGTGATTGTTCTTTTCGTCGTATGCTTGAAGAAACCAGATTCGTAGCGAGACTGCTATGTCAACGCGGTTCGGAGTATCGTGTGTGCACTTTGGCTCGCATTTGTCATTTTTAGCTCTAGTTGAGCTCATTGTTTTCCTGGTATCCCTTCATTACATCTCGTAGATTAAGGCAGTTCACTTTTTCCTGGTATTAGTTGAATTATATCTCATAGATGAAGGCAGTTTGCTTGAAATTGAAGGACTGATCGCGGACATTGTTTTTCAAACTCTAGCGTGATATAGTTTTTGATATATGTAATCCGCTTCATGGTGCGCGTTCGAAGTCAATTTACCCTTCTGACGCTGTCATTGTGGTAGTCCGATTCTTTCAAATGCTTCGATTGCGGATTTACAGTGGTGACGCTATACAATTGTAATTCTGAGTGGCATTCTCCAGCTAGCTCTAGCTTAAGCTCAGCTTTAGTTTACCGTCCTCTGTTTGTTAGATTCCATGGACCAAACTCCAAAGCGTTTGTAATTTGTTCTTGCGCAGAAATGGGTTGAGAAAATTATTGTGGGTAAATATGCTTCCCGGTGTCATTTCTTTTATAAGCATTGACAGATAAGTTAATAGTTGGTGCTATCTCACTGCTGTCCTCGGTAGCTAATATAAACACTTTGGTCACATTTACTAGTTTTATTCCAGTTTAATCTCTGCTGCTGAGCTTTCTGGTGTCTGTTCATTACATTTCAGAGGCTAAAGTAGTTTCTTTTTTCTTTTCTCAGAAATGGATTCCAGAAACTGGATAAGATCAAGGATGCCAACCGGCAGAGTAGACAATTGGAAGAGCTTACAGATAAAATGCGCGAGTGTAAGAGGTGAGTGCACAACTGATTATGTTCCCTCTTATCAATGCTCGTGCAAAGAGCTTTTACTGAAGATATGAATCTCAAGCGGATCTGCTTGTTTACTAACTAGTGATTGCTGCAACGCTAGCAGCCTTAGTCTGGATGTCTGAATCTTCTAGTCCATGTTGATGCAGAAATGCCACCTGATTGGTTTTGAATTTCTAGATGAATCAACTGCAATACAATAGTTTTCAGTGTGAATGCCTAATTTCAGTTAGCATTGAATTATAAAGATTGCTCCGGCTTTAATTTGGACATGGATGGAAGGACTCAGGCCCGATGCTTAAAATTTAAATCTGTGCTTTATGGTCAGACAATTCACTTGATTTTCTAAACCCACTTGCCCGAATGAAACATGGTATGTCCTGTATGCTAAAGACATGCTTGGACGTTCCCCTTCTTAGTTAACTTGGAACTGTAATGTTGTGATCGGAGATGTCCTATAAATGGTTTTGCCGCATTGATTCTCCTGCTCACGGTACTCTATATAATGTTGCTTAATGGGATCATTTCAGGCTTATTAAGGAGTTTGACAGAGAACTAAACGATCTTGAGGGTAGAAATGATGCAGAAACCAGCAGAATGCTCAATGAGAAAAAGCAGTCAATGGTTGGCTTTTTATTAGGACATTTCATTGATGGCGTTGTTGAGCTTCGTATTTTTGCAATGAACAGAATTAACCGTGCTGTTTAATGGGTATTTTTGCAGATAAAAGAGCTTAATTCATTCGTTGCCCAAAAAAAGAGGTATGCTCATGGGTCCTAATCCTGTATCTACAAGTAACTTCGGGAATAATATCTTTCTTGGCTGAAACTAGCATAAAAGATCACTCATTCTCTTTTAATTCACTGCATACCCTGCTTAGCAATTAGGTGCACTACATGTACATCTCAACTTTAATTCATATTATCTGTGTTGTCCAAACGATTGAACTTCTACTACATAGTAAAATTGTTGGATCCTTCAGAACCTTTTGTTGAACTTGTTCACTTTGGATTTTATGCTGTTGCAGATACACAACAAATCTTGAAAACAAACGAGTTGATCTCTTTGATGAGCCCAGTGAAGGAATTGGTGAAGATAATGGTTTGCTCGCTTCATGTAAGTACATCAAAATTATAATAAAGCAGTCACTCGTCATAGTTAAAGCAATGACAGACCCTTTAGGGGCTATAATATAAAGGTTTTGAAGTAAGATAACAACAATTGATCTTCTTTCCACAACTTTGGCAATTGGAATAAGGTTTCATTTCCCTAGTTCCATTTTTATTGTTTACTAGGAAATGCTTGTTCAATGCATGGATAGAAAATAGCAATCTAATTGTTCTAAATCCAAAATATGTATGTCTCGAAAGTAGGCAATGAAGCGAGGATTGAATTTGTTAAATGGAACTTTAAACTTTTTCGGAACGTGTTGAGCACAGAGAAGAAATTCATGAGAATAATTTTCTTGTGGCGGTAAAGCAAATCAAATTCTGAGAGTGTAATGGATTAAACTCTCTTAGTTACATCACAACATACATTGTGAATATTGTAATCATAGGTCCATATGATAGGGTTGTATAAGGCCAACTTTGGGTGGTGTCAGCTTTTATTCGCTTGATTTTCGTGTTCCAAAAAATAAAATTTTCTTGCAAAAGCATCGTTTAATTCACATACGAGCTATTCTATGGTAAATTGTTCTGGAGGGATATTGAATATGTTGCTAATGCATCATCTTGCAGCCCTGCAAGTACACTTTTTACTTACCCATTTCTTACCTACTAAGTCTATGATTGAGTACAAACAGCCTCGAAATTTTTATGTGCTTGTTGAGATTCCCTTTTTGACTTAACAAAAACTGAAATTACTGGTAAATTGGGGTTGGTTCTCTGATAATTTTGGAAGTTAGAGAAGTTCAAGTAATCCTCTTCCTAACTGGCAACTCTCTTTCGTGTATTATTATTTATCATTGATAAGAAGTTGCTGTGCTTTATGCTGCATATCTTAGTTTCTGTATTATTCAATGATGGGAGGTTTCCTGAGTTTTATCTGCATCTTATCTCAGCCATGACAAATCAACAGCTAATGGATCATGGAAACCAGATGATGGATGAGACAGATCAAGCCATTGAAAGGTCCAAGAAGGTTTGTTACTGTACTGTGACTTGAAACTTTTAGAGTTGTGGTATCAATCTTATCAGTTTCTCATTCGTTTTCTTTTTGGTCTATTACTATCTAGATGGGGACTTTGTCACCTGTTTAAGATTCTTCAAAACATTAGACTGAGTTCTGTCTTCTTGACCTGTCTAACCTTCCTAGATGTCCCCAACAATTCTCCCCCCTTCCCTTTTTTTTTTTTGTTTCATTTCATTTCGTTTCATAATTGGTTTTCCTTCTATTACATATTAAGATATATCACACAAATTGGATTGGGAAAATAGCTAAGTCGTACGTGCTGTTATTGTTTTGGTTGATAAACTTAACCGTGTGACAAAGAAACGTATTAAGTTTTTCTCTTCATTCCGATAGACTGTCCAAGATACTGTGAATGTTGGAACAGAGACTGCAGTAGCTCTCAAGGCTCAGGTTCGTACCAGCAAATTGACATTTCAGCATGTTGGTTTTTGTACAGAACTTAGTTTTTCTCTGAATTGAACACCTGTTCCTGTTTCTAGACTGAGCAAATGAGCAGGATTGTAAATGAACTGGATTCCATTCATTTTTCAATCAAGAAAGCATCTCAGCTGGTCAAGGAAATTGGTAGGCAGGTCAAATTTCTCCTCATGTCTTTCTTTCGTGTTCCCAAAACTGCTATTATCCCACTTAGCTGTGAGAGCTCCATTCTCCTCTGATCTTTTCTCTTTGGGCTTTAGGTTGCAACTGACAGGTGTATTATGGCGTTGCTCGTCCTCATAGTTATTGGAGTTATAGCCATCATTATTGTGAAAGTAAGTGCTCTGCTATTTCCTTGTTATTCCAAAGATGAACTTGTATACTCTTTCTTTTCACGTGAGGTTGCCTTTGCATTAGGGCAGCTGGTAGATAGTTCTATTGATGTAATCCACGCAAGTGACTTAGGTCGACCCTCTAAACTCCATTCAAGTTCAAAATATGATTGCACCATCAGTAAATCAACTGTTGTGCAATGTTTTGCTCCTCAGGCATTGCATCTGCGGATCGAACCCTATTTCTTCTTAGACAAGCTTCAGCACTTTTCCAATTTCTGTTCTTTTACTTTTGAGCTAAGTAGGCATGTAACTGAATTGCTATTGGTCCTGTTCCTTCATCTGCAGATTGTACACCCGAATAACAAGGACATTCGCGATATTCCGGGGTTGGCACCTCCTGCTCCTTCTCGGAAACTACTTTGGGACCTAAACAAAGATAGATGGTGACCACTTTATACATTACCATGTGGAAGGTCTCGTCATGTTCCAAGTTGTTTGATGGCTGTGACACCGCAGGCATCCCACCCACGTCCCGCCCGCCGAATTCACAGGCAAATTCTCGGGAGTTTCACTAGAATTCTCTCGGCTATTCTGGCTATTCTTTTTCCATTAGATGAGAAATCTACTCAGGTGATGGAGATACGTGCTTGTAATTTTTCAGACCCTCCTCCCCTCAAAGATAGAAGTCTCCGGGTTACGTCAACTTTCTTTGTGATGTATTTGAACATGGTCCAGAGAGTTTGCTGGCTTTCCTGTCTTTCTACCCAGTGTATTAATTATCATGATGTGACTATGCATTCGTGTTTCCGAAACGGCCAATTTATGATTATATCACATTATTTCTCTGATGTACTTTGGGACAGTTCTCTCCATTGATCAATTTTTTCATCAAGAGAAGAACGAAGATCCCTGAAGCACAAGTTTTCGTTGGGCATATCGTTCTGCTGGCGAAGACAATTGGGGAATGGCTCGGAGTCAGACCCGACCACTTTAGTCTGTGCAGCCTCTTCTCCAGTCATCTTAACCACAATTTCTACAGCTCCCGTTGGGTAAAAAAAATTTCGGGTCAAACAAGGCAACACTGGAAATTTCCCTTTGCCAAAAGGGCCAGATTTTCGTTAAAAAAGAAGCAATCTTGGTCCGAGGACCATCTTAATTGAACCTGTAAAGGAATGCCTCATTGAGAAGTTTGACATTGTCAAAATTACATGTACACGTCGACAGATGAACATAGTTATGGTACAGGTAGGTGGAAACTCGGAAGAAAAGGAGGCACCCTGCTTATAAAATCAGGGCAGCCATTTCTGTTTGTACCATAAGGTAACAACTGTTATGGGACGAACCAATATGTGTGATCTCCTGGTCAAGCCATACGGTCCAGTCCGCAAGTTGCTGGCAAGTCGTCGAAAAACCAGATGACCTTTCAATTTCCTCAACGACTAATGGCCTTCCTGTGTATATATAGTTCATCATGAATGCAATTGAGCCGCCGGTTCGTCGTGAACCCGCATAGGCTTCCAGTCAGAGTCCTCCTTGGTTTGTCTTAATGCCACAAAGTGGAGAGCGTCGCTTTTGATTTGATATACATGACATGCCCAAGGATATGAATCTGGCTCGGTCCATATCTTTTGCTCTTCATATTCCGTCTGCTCAGCGAGCAATTCTGCCACACAATAGGCTACAGCTGGTTGCGGTTCTGTGAAATCAGGTACGGCAACACATCCAAGAGAAACAAATCCCTCAGGTGCTCGAGGATGCCAAATTGAGACGGGAATTGTGTAGTCATCTAAGCAGTTTCTCCATACCTGGACAGTCAATCACAGTTGTATCATAATCTGTTATCAGACCCAAGAACTGAAGCAATGTAAAGAATAAGACAGCGAACATGAGCAAAGCATTGAACTGCATCGGATTAAGTGGGCATGTGGTTTCCACTTTCACCAACCTAATGGCTTCCGGGAGCAGAGGAATACGTAAGTTTGAACATACTGTTGCCCATGTGCGTGTCTCTCTAAATGGATATACAATATATTTCATGACCAACTCCTCTCTTTTCTTGCTAACATTTGACTTGTAAGGATTTTGATGACCCAACTTGCAAGATGTATTAGTCTGAGACAGCTGTGACTCGACCAAAAGGCAGGAGTTACTCCACAAGGTACAGAAATTAGCCTCTTAGATCTTTTTTTGGTCATGTAGCCTCTTTAGATTTGAAAACACACTAAATTTTCCTCTCCAAATTCATATTTTGATTGGTTCCTAGGTGCCAGGAGAAAGTTTCATTTCGTCTGCTCAAAAGAGTGCCAGTTTAAGTCTCCTTACCAGGTCATAGCCTATTGGAAGGGCAAAAAGTCTGTCGCTGTTATTATAAACAGCAGCACAATGTGGAGGATGGTTACCAACTCGAGCTATATCTCCAACAGAAACATACCTACAAGAGAAAAGCCATACAGGTCCAAAATCTATTAAGATATCAGAAGCGTAACAATCGTCGCCAGAAATGAAAAGATGTTAATTAACTGCAGCTATATTGTTGTACATCATCTGGCCCTAAAAATGAAAGAAGGCTATATCATACGTACGCCTAGAATGACCTCACTCTCTCCCCCTCTCCCCATATGGGCTCGAAAAGCATAAATTCTCTTACTAAGTATCCTCTGTGAACTGCTAGCAATCTCTATCCATTCCCGAACTAAACCACTCTCTCTTCACCCCCCGGGCCCTTTGCACTAGGAGGAAAGAAAAGGACAGAGTGGTCTGCCTAATGACTGCCAGGACCTCCTTAGCAGCAACTAACCACAGTTCATGCACTCTAAACCAATATGAAGATCCTAATTGCACATAAACAGAAAAATACTAAAATGAAATAAAAATAAAATTCGTCAAGAGCATCAACAACTTTACAGATACACAATGAAAACCACAATAACACGAGCTGCATGAAACCTGTGTGACCACTCGAGTCCACAACCTCTCTCCCAATGACTATCACAATCTAAAATTCCCGTACCATCTTTTTATCCAACAAACCATCAATAGGTACGCAACTCATCTATCAGAAGTGATTGGATGAGAGATGATCATCCAATCCGACACTGTCAATAATAACCACCCAGCAATGATTCTAGTTCATAAGTCATCTCTAGTGTATCTATCACATTACTATCCCAGCTTTCTAGTTCTAGATGCTAAGGGCTGGTTTGATAAAACTGAAAACTATATGCTGAGAATTTAAGTACTAGATTTAATTGCTGGAAATCTTGAGTACTGTAATTAAAAATAAAAAAATTGCTTGATGATAACTGAAAATTGATTACCATATACTTTGAGTTTCTCACCAAAAAAAGAATTGTAATCATTATTGGTAAAATTGGTAAGATCCTGATTTGTTCTCATTGCTTTTTCAATTGAATGAACTGAGTAACCACTTAATTAACATATTAAGCAGATCTTTTACTTAATTGAACCTGTCAAATCAATGATAATAAGGATTATCAAACGTGCTTTGTTAAATTGCTGAGTTTTCAATTTTCATCACTTAATTGGGCGATCAAACTGGCCCTAAGTCATTAATGGTTCCCCTTATAAACCCCAAGGCACCTATAGGTTTAGCACACTTTGTTGTTAGAGCACAAGCACTAGGAACTCTGAACCCACCAAAAGATTCTTAAATAACCAGAACTGCACCATGCTACAAGGACCGCGTATGCTGCTATGTGATAAAAGACTAGGTGGAGGAAATTTCCTTCATGACTGCCAAAAAATATAAAGCAGCATATCTGATATTGCATTAAAGTTTAAACCTTACCCATCTGGACAAATGGGTCTCCAAATGCTACAGATTCCAGAATGGTCTGAACTCTGATAAAAGAAAAAATTGCAATTTCATTAACAATCAAACTATCAAATTCTCAAGAGATACCTTGGTAAAAGAAAATTCAGTAGATAGAGCACTGCAGACTAAGAAAATTGAAGAAGCACCTGCTTTCTGCACAGAGTGCAATGACCCTTTGTTTCCCGTTCACTGCTCCAGATCTTTGTGAAATTGACGCTATGTTTGACAAATTTCCTGTCATCTGACACAGAGCTGGAAGAGGAGAACTCTCTCGATCTTACAATGGCTTTGTTCAGGTTAAGTGTCTTTCTCCCATCAGCTTCTTTCCAAGCAAAATATACATGTCTCTGGCTTGAAGGAACCTATGAGCAGAAAAACTCATTCAGAATCACAAGAATAAGCAGTCGTTAAAACAATCTCATCCCGCATACAAACCTTCAGAATAAGGCATTTCATGTCAGACTGATATGCTTTCCACATTTTCCGCACTACTGAACAGATTGTGACTGCTTGAGGAACTGTTCCCTCAGTTTCCATCTCAGTAACGCATTTAATAACTCTGACAAAATTTTCGGATCTTCTAAAATTTTTAAGATGAAGGATTAAGTGGGAGGGCTGGTTACATCCTGCTTTTGCCAACTCCAGTGCCATCAGCTCTTGCCAGGACACATCCCACATGATCTTGCAAGGTTTCTTATCCATGTTATCGAGATTCAGGCTCTACATATGCACACACAATTAATAGAATCACAATTTTTGCATTTGTATATTTAATTGGTGAATGTATACATATTTTAAGATTTCTTTAATAACCTGAAGCAGCATGACCCTCTTGTTGGTCACCAAAACAATCCTTTGGTAGGGCACAACAAAATGTTCTTCATAATAATCTGACCAGGCAAATTTAGATGGTTCCTTAAAAATTTCAGTGCATCCAAAGCGCCTACTAGCTTCTGCAAGGTAGAGTATCATCTGGAAACATGATATGAACAAATAGGTTAATCATTTTTCAACACTCCATAAAGAAGATAATCATCATGCCTTCTTCTTGGATAACAACACATAATTAATTATGCTAAAAAGACACAAGGAGAATGTATGCAGACATAACTACTAAATTTTAAGCAGGCCCTGAAGTTTAGACAGGTGGAATGTCTACATAGCAGAAGCCCCAAATCTTTCAGTGGACAATGAGGAGAACACTTTCTGGCTTATTGATGCATGTACACCATCGACATTTCACAACTAGCACCCAAAATGCAATGTTCAATCTGATGTGATCTTTAAAACCATTCATTAGAAAATGCCTCCCTATAGCTTATACCCATCAAAAGAATGGGACAAGTGTTTCATTTCATTTCAACTAGATCATGGCTTGTTTGAGAAGTCTGTGTTCCAGGGACTACACTTGTGAAAAACTACTACTTTTGCATATGTATGTTATTATGAAGGGATGTATAAAACAAGTAGGATCTAAAACCACATATTGCGCCAAAAAAATGGTTTGAAAAAGGATAGCAACTAGAGTGCGTGGTGGTAATTTACTGCAACCAAAGCTGGCTTTAACAGTGACAGAGCTATTGAGGATGACCAACCCACCGGCAATGCGCATGAGATGTGATGTGAGCAATATGTTCATGCTGAAATATTAAAAATTATCCTCAGCGTATAAAGGTTTGAATCCATTTTGACCAAAACACTGATGAAAATTTCATATTTTGGGGAGGTTCTTGCCAAAAAGATAAAACTAATATAATTGTATTCTTCTATGAAAAACAAAGATACATGAACAACCAGAATTAAGAATGAACTTATCGGCTTTATTGTTTAGGTTCCGGCATATTCGATCAGGGTCACAAAGCTAAAACCTCTTGTTGATGTTGAAAAGTTTTCTGACGAACTATCTAAATATCCACTAAACAATATCACAAAAAATATTTCTAGCATCTTTCTCAACACTTCACCTATAGTGTAAGCCAGACCTTATACATAAGAGACATGTAGACAGAAGCA